GTACCCTAAAAGCCATTTGATCTTGTACTATTTCCATAATTTGGTTTCTCAACATGACGTTGAGGTCATATGGAATTCCTACAGGTTGGTTGGTCGGTTGATTTGCCTGAGGCCTGATGTTTAGTCCTTGGTTGGCAACAAAGTTGCCATGATTTGGATCATTGTTGCCATTAGCCGAAATATTCATTCCATCATTGACACGTGGGGTATTCTGTCCATTATTTAGGACATTGTCTCTTATATTTAGGTTATCCCCCAAGTTAGATGTACCATTATCATTATTCTGATTTGGTCTTACACTATCCCCTGGTTTGAAGTAGATGGACCGAAAGGTGGTTCTATCCCCTAATTTGGACTTAGGACTGGGGAATTATGTCCCACGACTGTCCTAGTTTGAAAGTGATTTGCAATAGGCACAACTAGCTGACAAATTTGGCCTACTAACTTATTCATTATTTCATTTAATATATTCAATTGTTTGGTCATGTTGTCATAATGTGCATTCTCATTCTGGGTAAATCTTTCCATATTATGAACATTTCGTAGATTTACCTGTTCAACGACATCCTGTGTGAGTTCTCCAAGCAATGCACGCATGGTTCGAGGACTCAACTCTATCATTGGTTCGTAACGACTGTGACTGCTCTGACTCTGTCCTTCTGTTCATGGAGAGCTTTGCTGCTCCTCATATCGTTCGACCACAGACTGGACTCCTCCCTAACTTGCTGCTTCCTTATCAGATTTGTGAGGCATATTGTTTCACCTTTTGTATTTTTAACACCAAACACCAAGATCCCACCGGCCGTGTCAAATTGTTTCGCGTGGGTAGTCGCTAACAATTAAAAAAGGGATCAGACGATTGTGTAGGGAACAGACCTCTTGAGACAAAGTCCCAAAAAAGGGTGTTTTATTGGCGATAATTTACAATTGGAATTTAAACAGAATGCCTCCAAGGGCGCAAGCACACGAGTACTAAAAGAAATGTTTAAATTTAAACTAAGAAATCGAAATTACATATTCTCTATTTGAAAGTGTTTAATTCAGGGTCTTTCTTCTCTATGTCTTCTCTTCCTTTTATATTCCTTTGATGATTTCTTCGCGACAACCGTTTGGAAACTGCTTGATTGCTGTGTAACTACCCACTTTCTTTATAGTGGCTAACTTGTAGGGGAACTGTTGTCCCTAACTGTTGCTATTACTCTTTGTTGTTCAATCGCCTTCAACTGGGCTCCTTGATTCGTGGAATGTGATAAGACCACTCAATAACTGTTATTTTGAATAATTATAATATTTTATGTTTGCTAAGATCCTGGGCGATTTGAAAGTTTGGGCGAGAACGTGGTCATCGCTCTGGGCGACCGTAAGGTATGCTATTCGCTCGGATTTTGGGCGTCTTGCAAGTTTGGGCGATGATGTTACCGTGTTCGTGAACTTCCACCGCATTCATCAATAATCCTGTTTGAATCTTTATCCTGGATTCCCAATTTGGCTTCACTCTTTGAGCTATTTGATTTGGGCTACACTTTTAGTGTATCAACAAGTTTCAATACACAAATCGAATGCACAAGCGAATGTTGAATATTCCGTAGTGAGGAATGAATATTGGAATTAAATCCTTCAGTCAAAGATGAACATTGACCACAATTCCCTTTTCTGATATTCTTGTAGAATTGAAAATCATATATAATTTGAATTTGCATTGCTGCTGTTGGAATTAATGTACAGCATAAACATTGTCATTTCAATTTTCGGTTACAAATTAAATATGAGAGTTTCAGAATCAGTAATTTGGGTGTTCTTTTTGGGGTTACACAGTATATTTAGTATGAGTCTGTTTGGGACTGATTTTGAGAATTGATTTTTTGACCGTTAGGAAAAAATGGGGTCCACCTGTGAGAGAAGAAGTCAATATGATGGCTGGAATAGTGAAATAATGATCAAAAAATAAATTTTTTTGTGAAAAAATCGCTCCCAAACAGGCCCATAGGGATATTTTGGTACAATATGTAATCTTTTATATTTCACATGTATTTTGCTTATGCTCAAATGAGAAAAGCCCAGCTCGAAATTTAAGGAGGCCTTGTCATCCAGAGCCCAATTCGTCTTTCCCTTTTTTTTCTTTTTTCTTTTTAAGTACGTGATTAATTCTAGTAATGAAGACGCATTCGCCCCTGTTTCATTTCAAGTCCATGGCCAAATGAAAACTATCCTCGGATTGATCCTAGGTAAGGTTTCTTATTTTTCAGAAAAGATGGTCCAAATTTACAAGACGTTCTTGGTATGGTCATTGCCACTGTTGCCTGTTGGAATGATTTGGCATGGCTATGCCTCTTCAAAGTCCGGAAGCAAGGAATTACTTTTAGTACAGTAAACAACTATATTACACACACAAGTTTGCTTTGAGAATGGCCTACTAAACTTTGCATTTAGTATAAATTCCCGTAATGGTCCTAAAATCTCTTTTTCCTTCTTTTTTTACATCAAATGTAGATTGTGCAAGTGAAATCTGTTGAAATACCTAGACCCTATTTCCAGTTCTAGCAAAAACTTGAGAACTTTGGATTTGAATCAAAAACTATGTTCTCATTGTCTTACCGTCTATGTATAGAATGAATTCGAGTTCATAACTGACGAAATAATTCTCGAGGTCATCAAGGAGACAAGGCCTAACAATGTAATATCTCAACATTTAATGGGTTAATTTCACAAACAGTCACTGAACTTACCTAAAAATTACAAAATAGTCAGTAAAGTTTAAAACTTGCAGAAATGGTCACGAAAGTTTAGAGCGCTTTCAAAAACGGTCATTGAAGTTTACAAACTTGCAGAAACGTCACTATTAGGACCGTTATGATTGAATTCAAACTTAAAGGCCAAAACACGTGAACATAGAATCTTGAGGACCAAACCATCAAAACTTGACAAAATAAACTTTTTCTCTTTATTTTTAGGCCAATTTTGCGACAATTTGTCGACAACTTCCAACCACCAAGACCGTCAAATTTGTATACTGTTTGAAAGCGCACAATGTCCTCTTCAATCACCACTCAAAATCTCCCCATAACTCTAAAGAATTCGTTCGGAATAAACCCACAAAGTCAGTTCCCCGAAAATTTCGCCCATTCAGATTTCTGGATATTATGGGGAGATTTTGGGTGATAATTGAAGAGGACATTGTGGGCTTTCCAATAGTATCCAAATTTGACGGTCTTGGTGGTCAGAAATTGCCGAAAAATTGCCGCAAAACTCTCCCCAAAAATAAAGAGAAAAAGTTTATTTTGTCAATATTTAGTGGTATGGTCCTCAGATTCTATGTTCATGTGTTTGGTCTTTTAAGTTTGAATTCAATCATCATGGTTCTAATAGTGACCATTTCTTCAAGTTTGTAAATTTTAGTGCCCATTTCTAAAAGCGCTCTAAATTTCGGTGACCGTTTTTTCATTTTAACTAAAGTGACTGTTTTTCTTTTTAATTTTCAAGTAAGTTCAGTAATCATTTGTGACATTAACCCACATTTAATACGTACAAGTTATAAATTTTGACTTAAAAATTTTTTTCTCTTCATTTTTCTTCAATCCCATCTCGAAAAATTGACAAACAAACAGTTTCTTCAGTTAATTGGTCAGTTTTTATGACGTGGGTGTGCCATTAAAATATTTTGTCCCTATTTCTTGATATTTGGAGGCAACTTTTCTTCATGCTGACTAATTCCATACATTATTGTCCCCAAAAGTCATACAAAACGACGGGTGACGCCATTTTATATGTCCCACTAATGGGCCCCAAAATAATATATGAAATTGTTAACAAAATCTGCATCGTCCATTCTATTACATTTTTGGAATCTCCTTTCTTGTTGCGCTCTAACATCTTTAAAAGCAAAGTCAATACCAATTTTCTATCAAATAATTTCATATTTTACAGTTGATCAAGAGCGAAGTCTGGACTAAAAAATTCGTTAAACTAAAATAATATGTTAAGGAAATTACAAAAATAATAATGATGATAATAAATTGGGCCCATGCCAGCCCTTAAATCTCCCCCTAATCCTGATATTCAATATTATATATCATGCCACTTAATAATTGGAGATGACTTTAGAGTTCGGCTATTAAAGAAGCATGGATTGGACTTTTAGTTAAAACATGTTCAATTAGTTTATTACTACTCACAACTTTCAATTTGTCACGTAAAGCAAGGGATAGACTTATATTTTGTCTTATCTTCAATGTTGATCTTTGTGCAAATATAATTAGAAATTACAATGTGCATTTTCGAGTCAAGATTTTGCCGTCCATTTTACCGTCCATCCAATTAATTTGTAATATACCATCAATAATTAATATGTTATCTCAAATTTACCATCATTAGCTTCACCACTAACCTATTAAATTAATGATGTGTCAAGAATTAATTGGATCGACAGTAAAATTGGACAGCTGATCTTGACTCTACATTTTCATGTTTGTAGGATTTAACATTTGAAATTAAATTCTAAATTTCCCTGAGATAATTTTTTTCTTAATCTTTGTTTGCATTGACAAAAATAATCCGTATTATATTTCCTATGATTTTATTATATTTTATCTTTAATTAAAGCAACAATGAAATGATCAAACTAATTAAAAAGAATACGCGACAAGTCTTCCATATGACTGAACTCAACAATGCTTAAAAGTAACAGTAGGCCAATCGTGCCGAGTCAAAGTCGACCCACGAACATGCATCGTCGTCTCGAGCAGTCTAATAAATAACAATTGGGATCTCCTCTAGCACACCCAAGAACTAAAATAAAATTAAGTAACACGTGTCACGCATCGGACGGCTTGATTGCGTGAGAGAAGATTCAATTCCGTTGAGGGGCCCAGTTTCCCCCAGAGTTTCAACACTCCGTGCGTGTCAGCTTTCTATTAGCCAATTCCCCTGTAGACGATTCAAAGCGTGTAATAAACGTAACACCCAGATACGGTCAACCAATTATACATATAGACACAGCAAAAGCAGATTCTTGGTGTATATGATTGTAAAAAAAATTATATTGCCATTTGCTAAGATTTCTTCAACCCTTCCATTTGCCATTTGCTAATTTCATTTGGCATTTCCCGTCAAAAATCCCCAACAACTTTCAATTTCTATCTCAAAGTAAGTTCTTGAATTCATTTTTTTTTTCCTTTGAGATTTGGGTTCTTGAATTTATTGATACTCTGTTGAAATTGCAAATATGAAGTCGTTTGAGTTACCCTTTTTCTTGCATAATTGTTTTTGGGTTTTGCAACAGATATTGATCTATAAAATGTTAGTAATATATGAAATGGGGTTGCTGATTAGAATTTAATTCTTTGTTAAGGTGAAAATTGTTTTGTTTATTTGATGGCGTTGAAGACGAATGGATTTGTGGAAGGTAGTCTACCGGAGGAATTGATGAAGCTGCTATTAAATTTGGCTTCAGAATGGGGAGATGTGATTGATTTAAGTAATTTGAAGGTGATTCATTTGAGTGGTGCCATGACTAACAAGATTTATCAAATAAGCTGGCCTACAAAAATGGAAAATTTCCCAAGAATAGTTTTAGTTCGAATTTATGGCGAAGGGGTCGAGCTTTTCTTCGACCGGGATGAGGAAATTCGCACTTTTAAATTTATTTCGACTCATGGTCATGGACCTAAGCTTCTTGGTCAGTTCAAGGAGGGGCGAGTCGAGGAGTTCATTCATGCCAGGGTATGTGAAAATTACATCCTTTTTCTTTTCATGGTAAATTTTCCGAATTTTTCATTAGATTGTGCTGATCTATTGGTTATGAAGTCAAAAATGTAGAAAATACTTTTGCTAGCAGATTTTGTCTAGTAGACTTATCTTTTCAGATTGATAATGATGTTCAAGATGTGGCATTTATCATGATTTTGGAGAAACACGCAGAAAATTTATCATTTCGTTTATTTTGCCACCTGATTTTGGCTTTACAGACTCTATCAGCTGCTGACCTTCGCGACCCTGAAATTTCTGCTCTGATAGCAGCTAAAATGAGGGAATTTCATTATCTTGATATGCCGGGATCGAAGAATGTGGTCTTGTGGAACAGAATGAGGTGCCCAGCTGCTCTATTAAGAAAAGAGTTTGAGTTTGAAGATTGAATATTATCAACTGACTGTTTGTCTTCCGCAGAAATTGGCTTAGCGAGGCCAAAAGTTTGTGCTCCCCGGAACATGTGAAGGAATTTCGCTTGGATAACTTAGAAGCGGAGATCAACTTATTGGAAAAGGCACTATCAGGACACGACCAAAAAATTGGTTTTTGCCACAATGATCTGCAGTACGGTAACATAATGATCGATAACAAGGCAAAATCCATCACTCTGATAGTGAGTTCTGCTTCAGTTCTTTATACTAAGAATTTTGGTAGAAATGATGAAAAATTATTCAGATGCGGAATAATTTAACTTCTTACCATTTTTTTTTTTACAGGATTATGAGTATGCAAGTTACAATCCTATTGCCTACGATCTTGCAAATCATTTCTGTGAGATGGCAGCGAATTATCACACTGAGACGCCTCATATCTTGGATTATAGCAAATATCCCTGTCAGTAATTGCCACTACGTCTATTGGAATTTGTTTTCAAGTTTGTGGCTCATTGTCAGGTTCCATGTTTCAAAAGACTCAAAATAGAGCAGGATTAAGCTGTAAACTCAATGATGATCGTTTTAAATTTTCTTTTTTTGCTTTGGCAACAGATCTAGAGGAGCGCCAAAGATTTGTACGTGAATACCTCGGATCGTCAGGTTTGTTCTCTACTTTCTTAATTGTTTGGAATTGTACATGATATTTGGAACGTAAGTTTATTTTTGAATATACCTAAAGCTCGAAGAAAAATGCTATTAACACGTAATCTACGAGGCATAGACGCTAGTCCTACTATTGGACTCCAACACTACAATACTCGTGTTCGTGGCGTGTCCCTTTAATTATATATATTTTTAAATTTTAGACTAAAATATGATCGAAGTTCCATACTTCCCTGTTTGCTTACCTTTTAATGGCAGCAAGGCGCCAATTGTCCAACCTGGTCACAGTCTCTTTTATTCCCTGAGATTTCTTGTTTGATCTGTAGGGACAGAACTTGCTGCCACAGGGACCAGATCTTAAGAGTAATTCACGTTAATCCCATGTTACTTCATCCTTATCCAATTATTGGCGATTCAACTAATGTTCTCGACTGACTGAAAATGACCCCTTATAGACGAATGAGAAATAAATTTCAGTGATCTTGTTGATATTTTCTTGAATTTAGCTTTAATCCCTTTTTACAGAGTTATGTAAATAGAGAAACTGGTAAAGCAAACGTAGATTTGTAGTAGTTCACCTTCAATATGAGAATTGTCTTTTCATTATATTGGAGAATAAAGAACAAGATTTTCCGGACATCCCCCTAAAAATACTTGATACATTTATAATATTAGGGCTGCATTATGATCAAGCTCGAGGGAATAAGTGTACAGTGTAATAAGGTTCCACACAGTCCAATACATGAGTTAACTTTTCTATTAATGTATGCAGATTATCAACCCAGTGACGCTGAAGTAAAGCAGCTTGTAGACGATACAGAGAAGTTCGCTCTTGCAAACCATATCTTCTGGGGATTGTGGGGATTAATCTCGGTATGTGTTTTTCATTTTTTTTTTTTTTCCTTCTGTTATTTTTATGTGTAAATAAGTATGGAGTTAATACATCTGCCTATTTTCGGCCCCTGCAGGCATATGTGAATCATATCGACTTCGATTATATGGAATATGCAAGGCAAAGGTTTCAGCAGTACTGGTTGAGAAAGCTTGAAATCTTGAATAAGTGAGGAGACTCCCTCTCCCTTGATGGTGATAATATTTGTGTAGAAAAACATAGAGCCACTCAGATACCAAAAGTACGTATAGAAATTTGATTTATTCCGATAACAAAGTTCAGTTTGTGTTGTTTTCGCATTGATGAAATGTGTAGACTGAATAAAGCCCCCATTGAATGAAATGGGAATCTTGTTTACCTAGTGAGTTTTTTATTGATTCTATTCTCTGCATGATTTGCAATGAAGTTTATGAATAGAATCTATGATGCTGAAGTTCTGGATTTGGTTGAGTTTTGTATTTGATGATCAAGAATGAAAGGTCTTAAAAGTGGGATTTTGTGATGAGTGCTGGGGGCCTTTTTCCTTCTTGGAATATAGTGATGAAAAGGATTTTAAATGAAAAATGAAATATCCAAGAAAGCGTTATTGCTTATCTTTGTGTGTGTGTGTGTGTATTTTATGTTAATTCGAAGACATAATATGTGTGCTTTGTATTATTCCCAAATGGTGTTTAGGAAATCATAAAGCCACATCAAGATTCAATGTCCATTAAATAAAACAAGAAATAGATCGTACCCACTAGAAAGTCTGTCACCACATATATTCATAACGGACTATGGATAAATGGAGGACCGATCGACTAAAGGTACAAAACATTTACTTCTTGCTGTCTTGAAATTTTGAAGGAAAGCTTTTGCCCATTCGTTTGGCATTTGACGTAGATTCGTCAAATCGGTCAAAGTAACTTCAGACTCAGTCTTATAAAACTGAGCATGGAACAATTGCTCCAATTGTTGCCATGTTTGAACAGAGTTCGCTGGCAAATTGATGAACCAAGAGAAGACTACTCCTATTAATGAACTATGGAACAACCTCATTTTATGGTAGTCGGTTACTTCACCACTTTGCAGTATGAATCGCCCTATGTGTTCTAGAGTAGACACATCTCTTAAACCGGTAAATAATGAAAATTATGGCACTTTATACCCTCTAGGCCATGGATATGCTTGGTCTACCCAATCAGGGTATGGCTTTGTGTAAGTCAGCCTAATGACAGGACGTACCCTAAAAGCCATTTGATCTTGTACTATTTCCATAATTTGGTTTCTCAACATGACGTTGAGGTCATATGGAATTCCTACAGGTTGGTTGGTCGGTTGATTTGCCTGAGGCCTGATGTTTAGTCCTTGGTTGGCAACAAAGTTGCCATGATTTGGATCATTGTTGCCATTAGCCGAAATATTCATTCCATCATTGACACGTGGGGTATTCTGTCCATTATTTAGGACATTGTCTCTTATATTTAGGTTATCCCCCAAGTTAGATGTACCATTATCATTATTCTGATTTGGTCTTACACTATCCCCTGGTTTGAAGTAGATGGACCGAAAGGTGGTTCTATCCCCTAATTTGGACTTAGGACTGGGGAATTATGTCCCACGACTGTCCTAGTTTGAAAGTGATTTGCAATAGGCACAACTAGCTGACAAATTTGGCCTACTAACTTATTCATTATTTCATTTAATATATTCAATTGTTTGGTCATGTTGTCATAATGTGCATTCTCATTCTGGGTAAATCTTTCCATATTATGAACATTTCGTAGATTTACCTGTTCAACGACATCCTGTGTGAGTTCTCCAAGCAATGCACGCATGGTTCGAGGACTCAACTCTATCATTGGTTCGTAACGACTGTGACTGCTCTGACTCTGTCCTTCTGTTCATGGAGAGCTTTGCTGCTCCTCATATCGTTCGACCACAGACTGGACTCCTCCCTAACTTGCTGCTTCCTTATCAGATTTGTGAGGCATATTGTTTCACCTTTTGTATTTTTAACACCAAACACCAAGATCCCACCGGCCGTGTCAAATTGTTTCGCGTGGGTAGTCGCTAACAATTAAAAAAGGGATCAGACGATTGTGTAAGGAACAGACCTCTTGAGACAAAGTCCCAAAAAAGGGTGTTTTATTGGCGATAATTTACAATTGGAATTTAAACAGAATGCCTCCAAGGGCGCAAGCACACGAGTACTAAAAGAAATGTTTAAATTTAAACTAAGAAATCGAAATTACATATTCTCTATTTGAAAGTGTTTGATTCAGGGTCTTTCTTCTCTATGTCTTCTCTTCCTTTTATATTCCTTTGATGATTTCTTCGTGACAACCGTTTGGAAACTGCTTGATTGCTGTGTAACTACCCACTTTCTTTATAGTGGCTAACTTGTAGGGGAACTGTTGTCCCTAACTGTTGCTATTACTCTTTGTTGTTCAATCGCCTTCAACTGGGCTCCTTGATTCGTGGAATGTGATAAGACCACTCAATAACTGTTATTTTGAATAATTATAATATTTTATGTTTGCTAAGATCCTGGGCGATTTGAAAGTTTGACAACCGTTTGGAAACTGCTTGATTGCTGTGTAACTACCCACTTTCTTTATAGTGGCTAACTTGTAGGGGAACTGTTGTCCCTAACTGTTGCTATTACTCTTTGTTGTTCAATCGCCTTCAACTGGGCTCCTTGATTCGTGGAATGTGATAAGACCACTCAATAACTGTTATTTTGAATAATTATAATATTTTATGTTTGCTAAGATCCTGGGCGATTTGAAAGTTTGGGCGAGAACGTGGTCATCGCTCTGGGCGACCGTAAGGTATGCTATTCGCTCGGATTTTGGGCGTCTTGCAAGTTTGGGCGATGATGTTACCGTGTTCGTGAACTTCCACCGCATTCATCAATAATCCTGTTTGAATCTTTATCCTGGATTCCCAATTTGGCTTCACTCTTTGAGCTATTTGATTTGGGCTACACTTTTAGTGTATCAACAAGTTTCAATACACAAATCGAATGCACAAGCGAATGTTGAATATTCCGTAGTGAGGAATGAATATTGGAATTAAATCCTTCAGTCAAAGATGAACATTGACCACAATTCCCTTTTCTGATATTCTTGTAGAATTCAAAATCATATATAATTTGAATTTGCATTGCTGCTGTTGGAATTAATGTACAGCATAAACATTGTCATTTCAATTTTCGGTTACAAATTAAATATGAGAGTTTCAGAATCAGTAATTTGGGTGTTCTTTTTGGGGTTACACAGTATATTTAGTATGAGTCTGTTTGGGACTGATTTTGAGAATTGATTTTTTGACCGTTAGGAAAAAATGGGGTCCACCTGTGAGAGAAGAAGTCAATATGATGGCTGGAATAGTGAAATAATGATCAAAAAATAAATTTTTTTGTGAAAAAATCGCTCCCAAACAGGCCCATAGGGATATTTTGGTACAATATGTAATCTTTTATATTTCACATGTATTTTGCTTATGCTCAAATGAGAAAAGCCCAGCTCGAAATTTAAGGAGGCCTTGTCATCCAGAGCCCAATTCGTCTTTCCCTTTTTTTTCTTTTTTCTTTTTAAGTACGTGATTAATTCTAGTAATGAAGACGCATTCGCCCCTGTTTCATTTCAAGTCCATGGCCAAATGAAAACTATCCTCGGATTGATCCTAGGTAAGGTTTCTTATTTTTCAGAAAAGATGGTCCAAATTTACAAGACGTTCTTGGTATGGTCATTGCCACTGTTGCCTGTTGGAATGATTTGGCATGGCTATGCCTCTTCAAAGTCCGGAAGCAAGGAATTACTTTTAGTACAGTAAACAACTATATTACACACACAAGTTTGCTTTGAGAATGGCCTACTAAACTTTGCATTTAGTATAAATTCCCGTAATGGTCCTAAAATCTCTTTTTCCTTCTTTTTTTACATCAAATGTAGATTGTGCAAGTGAAATCTGTTGAAATACCTAGACCCTATTTCCAGTTCTAGCAAAAACTTGAGAACTTTGGATTTGAATCAAAAACTATGTTCTCATTGTCTTACCGTCTATGTATAGAATGAATTCGAGTTCATAACTGACGAAATAATTCTCGAGGTCATCAAGGAGACAAGGCCTAACAATGTAATATCTCAACATTTAATGGGTTAATTTCACAAACAGTCACTGAACTTACCTAAAAATTACAAAATAGTCAGTAAAGTTTAAAACTTGCAGAAATGGTCACGAAAGTTTAGAGCGCTTTCAAAAACGGTCATTGAAGTTTACAAACTTGCAGAAACGTCACTATTAGGACCGTTATGATTGAATTCAAACTTAAAGGCCAAAACACGTGAACATAGAATCTTGAGGACCAAACCATCAAAACTTGACAAAATAAACTTTTTCTCTTTATTTTTAGGCCAATTTTGCGACAATTTGTCGACAACTTCCAACCACCAAGACCGTCAAATTTGTATACTGTTTGAAAGCGCACAATGTCCTCTTCAATCACCACTCAAAATCTCCCCATAACTCTAAAGAATTCGTTCGGAATAAACCCACAAAGTCAGTTCCCCGAAAATTTCGCCCATTCAGATTTCTGGATATTATGGGGAGATTTTGGGTGATAATTGAAGAGGACATTGTGGGCTTTCCAATAGTATCCAAATTTGACGGTCTTGGTGGTCAGAAATTGCCGAAAAATTGCCGCAAAACTCTCCCCAAAAATAAAGAGAAAAAGTTTATTTTGTCAATATTTAGTGGTATGGTCCTCAGATTCTATGTTCATGTGTTTGGTCTTTTAAGTTTGAATTCAATCATCATGGTTCTAATAGTGACCATTTCTTCAAGTTTGTAAATTTTAGTGCCCATTTCTAAAAGCGCTCTAAATTTCGGTGACCGTTTTTTCATTTTAACTAAAGTGACTGTTTTTCTTTTTAATTTTCAAGTAAGTTCAGTAATCATTTGTGACATTAACCCACATTTAATACGTACAAGTTATAAATTTTGACTTAAAAAATTTTTTCTCTTCATTTTTCTTCAATCCCATCTTGAAAAATTGACAAACAAACAGTTTCTTCAGTTAATTGGTCAGTTTTTATGACGTGGGTGTGCCATTAAAATATTTTGTCCCTATTTCTTGATATTTGGAGGCAACTTTTCTTCATGCTGACTAATTCCATACATTATTGTCCCCAAAAGTCATACAAAACGACGGGTGACGCCATTTTATATGTCCCACTAATGGGCCCCAAAATAATATATGAAATTGTTAACAAAATCTGCATCGTCCATTCTATTACATTTTTGGAATCTCCTTTCTTGTTGCGCTCTAACATCTTTAAAAGCAAAGTCAATACCAATTTTCTATCAAATAATTTCATATTTTACGGTTGATCAAGAGCGAAGTCTGGACTAAAAAATTCGTTAAACTAAAATAATATGTTAAAGAAATTACAAAAATAATAATAATAATAATAATAAATTGGGCCCATGCCAGCCCTTAAATCTCCCCCTAATCCTCATATTCAATATTATATATCATGCCACTTAATAATTGGAGATGACTTTAGAGTTCGGCTATTAAAGAAGCATGGATTGGACTTTTAGTTAAAACATGTTCAATTAGTTTATTACTACTCACAACTTTCAATTTGTCACGTAAAGCAAGGGATAGACTTATATTTTGTCTTATCTTCAATGTTGATCTTTGTGCAAATATAATTAGAAATTACAATGTGCATTTTCGAGTCAAGATTTTGCCGTCCATTTTACCGTCCATCCAATTAATTTGTGATATACCATCAATAATTAATATGTTATCTCAAATTTACCATCATTAGCTTCACCACTAACCTATTAAATTAATGATGTTTCAAGAATTAATTGGATCGACAGTAAAATTGGACAGCTGATCTTGACTCTACATTTTCATGTTTGTAGGATTTAACATTTGAAATTAAATTCTAAATTTCCCTGAGATAATTTTTTTCTTAATCTTTGTTTGCATTGACAAAAATAATCCGTATTATATTTCCTATGATTTTATTATATTTTATCTTTAATTAAAGCAACAATGAAATGATCAAACTAATTAAAAAGAATACGCGACAAGTCTTCCATATGACTGAACTCAACAATGCTTAAAAGTAACAGTAGGCCAATCGTGCCGAGTCAAAGTCGACCCACGAACATGCATCGTCGTCTCGAGCAGTCTAATAAATAACAATTGGGATCTCCTCTAGCACACCCAAGAACTAAAATAAAATTAAGTAACACGTGTCACGCATCGGACGGCTTGATTGCGTGAGAGAAGATTCAATTCCGTTGAGGGGCCCAGTTTCCCCCAGAGTTTCAACACTCCGTGCGTGTCAGCTTTCTATTAGCCAATTCCCCTGTAGACGATTCAAAGCGTGTAATAAACGTAACACCCAGATACGGTCAACCAATTATACATATAGACACAGCAAAAGCAGATTCTTGGTGTATATGATTGTAAAAAAAATTATATTGCCATTTGCTAAGATTTCTTCAACCCTTCCATTTGCCATTTGCTAATTTCATTTGGCATTTCCCGTCAAAAATCCCCAACAACTTTCAATTTCTATCTCAAAGTAAGTTCTTGAATTCATTTTTTTTTTCCTTTGAGATTTGGGTTCTTGAATTTATTGATACTCTGTTGAAATTGCAAATATGAAGTCGTTTGAGTTACCCTTTTTCTTGCATAATTGTTTTTGGGTTTTGCAACAGATATTGATCTATAAAATGTTAGTAATATATGAAATGGGGTTGCTGATTAGAATTTAATTCTTTGTTAAGGTGAAAATTGTTTTGTTTATTTGATGGCGTTGAAGACGAATGGATTTGTGGAAGGTAGTCTACCGGAGGAATTGATGAAGCTGCTATTAAATTTGGCTTCAGAATGGGGAGATGTGATTGATTTAAGTAATTTGAAGGTGATTCATTTGAGTGGTGCCATGACTAACAAGATTTATCAAATAAGCTGGCCTACAAAAATGGAAAATTTCCCAAGAATAGTTTTAGTTCGAATTTATGGCGAAGGGGTCGAGCTTTTCTTCGACCGGGATGAGGAAATTCGCACTTTTAAATTTATTTCGACTCATGGTCATGGACCTAAGCTTCTTGGTCAGTTCAAGGAGGGGCGAGTCGAGGAGTTCATTCATGCCAGGGTATGTGAAAATTACATCCTTTTTCTTTTCATGGTAAATTTTCCGAATTTTTCATTAGATTGTGCTGATCTATTGGTTATGAAGTCAAAAATGTAGAAAATACTTTTGCTAGCAGATTTTGTCTAGTAGACTTATCTTTTCAGATTGATAATGATGTTCAAGATGTGGCATTTATCATGATTTTGGAGAAACACGCAGAAAATTTATCATTTCGTTTATTTTGCCACCTGATTTTGGCTTTACAGACTCTATCAGCTGCTGACCTTCGCGACCCTGAAATTTCTGCTCTGATAGCAGCTAAAATGAGGGAATTTCATTATCTTGATATGCCGGGATCGAAGAATGTGGTCTTGTGGAACAGAATGAGGTGCCCAGCTGCTCTATTAAGAAAAGAGTTTGAGTTTGAAGATTGAATATTATCAACTGACTGTTTGTCTTCCGCAGAAATTGGCTTAGCGAGGCCAAAAGTTTGTGCTCCCCGGAACATGTGAAGGAATTTCGCTTGGATAACTTAGAAGCGGAGATCAACTTATTGGAAAAGGCACTATCAGGACACGACCAAAAAATTGGTTTTTGCCACAATGATCTGCAGTACGGTAACATAATGATCGATAACAAGGCAAAATCCATCACTCTGATAGTGAGTTCTGCTTCAGTTCTTTATACTAAGAATTTTGGTAGAAATGATGAAAAATTATTCAGATGCGGAATAATTTAACTTCTTACCATTTTTTTTTTTACAGGATTATGAGTATGCAAGTTACAATCCTATTGCCTACGATCTTGCAAATCATTTCTGTGAGATGGCAGCGAATTATCACACTGAGACGCCTCATATCTTGGATTATAGCAAATATCCCGGTCAGTAATTGCCACTACGTCTATTGGAATTTGTTTTCAAGTTTGTGGCTCATTGTCAGGTTCCATGTTTCAAAAGACTCAAAATAGAGCAGGATTAAGCTGTAAACTCAATGATGATCGTTTTAAATTTTCTTTTTTTGCTTTGGCAACAGATCTAGAGGAGCGCCAAAGATTTGTACGTGAATACCTCGGATCGTCAGGTTTGTTCTCTACTTTCTTAATTGTTTGGAATTGTACATGATATTTGGAACGTAAGTTTATTTTTGAATATACCTAAAGCTCGAAGAAAAATGCTATTAACACGTAATCTACGAGGCATAGACGCTAGTCCTACTATTGGACTCCAACACTACAATACTCGTGTTCGTGGCGTGTCCCTTTAATTATATATATTTTTAAATTTTAGACTAAAATATGATCGAAGTTCCATACTTCCCTGTTTGCTTACCTTTTAATGGCAGCAAGGCGCCAATTGTCCAACCTGGTCACAGTCTCTTTTATTCCCTGAGATTTCTTGTTTGATCTGTAGGGACAGAACTTGCTGCCACAGGGACCAGATCTTAAGAGTAATTCACGTTAATCCCATGTTACTTCATCCTTATCCAATTATTGGCGATTCAACTAATGTTCTCGACTGACTGAAAATGACCCCTTATAGACGAATGAGAAATAAATTTCAGTGATCTTGTTGATATTTTCTTGAATTTAGCTTTAATCCCTTTTTACAGAGTTATGTAAATAGAGAAACTGGTAAAGCAAACGTAGATTTGTAGTAGTTCACCTTCAATATGAGAATTGTCTTTTCATTATATTGGAGAATAAAGAACAAGATTTTCCGGACATCCCCCTAAAAATACTTGATACATTTATAATATTAGGGCTGCATTATGATCAAGCTCGAGGGAATAAGTGTACAGTGTAATAAGGTTCCACACAGTCCAATACATGAGTTAACTTTTCTATTAATGTATGCAGATTATCAACCCAGTGACGCTGAAGTAAAGCAGCTTGTAGACGATACAGAGAAGTTCGCTCTTGCAAACCATATCTTCTGGGGATTGTGGGGATTAATCTCGGTATGTGTTTTTCATTTTTTTTTTTTTNGAGCCAAGTGCCAACTCAGCTTCTATGTCAGTGTTGTCGATTTTAGTTTCGCAAGTGTACGAATCGTAACAAGTAGTAAAGTTGACCTAAGAGTTTGGATTGTCGATCCCACAAGAACTATTTTCTAGTAATTAGTTCAATTTTTCTTTAACTACTATTTGGTGAAAACAAATTAAAAATTGTAGTGATTTTAGTTTATTCTTAATTCTAGAAAATAAATGGATGCTCACACAATTATTTGTAAAATCAAATAATTAGAGGATGTTAGGGCAAAATAACTACACCTATTGATCACCTTTACATCCCAAATTAAGACTCAATTCTAATGTAGTGTTCGGTCGAATTCACCTATTGTATTCAATTTACCCTTATTAAGTTCTCATTGAGCCTATTCAACTAATTAAATTTCACATGATACTTTCTAATAACAACTCGCTATCTGTGCTTCCTTTCTATCACTACTCAAATTCTTAACTCCCTCCCTTGCTAGCTTGCTTCGGACGCTTCCTTGAATCCGAACTAGGAGAATGAGGTTTTTATCCCTGACTTTCTTCCGTTTTACGCTTCAATCCAGCTAGAACCTCAGTTACTTCAATATCTCTATGCAAATTCAACTTAATTAAACAAGTTCTTTGTTCTAGAAATTCAATTATGACTTCAATAACTGGTATAAATATCTCTACTCGTTATACCAATGTACTGAATTTTACTAAATGATCTAAATCCTAAACTCATATTTTTATTTGTAAAGGATTCATAAAATTCATCAAATTATTGATCAGATAACTTAATGCAATCAATGCATAGCAAAAATCAACACATGAAAAAATTAAAAACCAAGAATCTTAATAAAAAAATATAAAGGATCTCAAATAGTTATATTATTCACCATAGCTATAGATTTAGCTATGCATAATAAAAGAAAAAAAAACAACATATTGTCTTAGAGTACATCACCGGATTTAGGATTAAATATATAGAAGAAAAAGTAGATCTTACACCAAGAATTCCTTCCTCTTCCAATTAATGCTTCACGCGATGAATTTGTCGTTGTTTTCTCCCTTTGAATCTCTCCCCTTTTTCTCCCAAGATGTGATTATTGTCACCTAATGTGTGGAACCCCTCAAAGTGTGTGAAACCCTCAAAGTGTGAGAGTTTTCGTATTTATAGATCCTCTGTCGTGTATAAAGGATGGGATTTTCATATGGACTCAAAAAGAGCCAAAATTTGCGCCCTAATGCATCTGTGTGTGGCTGTGGCGCCTAGAATGCAGCGCCGCGTCAATTTGGAAGGTGTGGCCGCAGCACCATTAGGGTGGTGCCTCATCAGTATCTCTCGACGCTGTAGCGCTCTGAACCTGGCGTCGAGGATTGGGGTTACGTTTAACAACACACGACTTCACCTTTATTATACAAGACTTGACAAAGCATGGGCTATCAATTTCTCCCAATCATGTAAATAAGATATATGCTCCTAACACAAATCGCAAAGAACCCTAAGCATCTTCCACAAACCATTTGATTCCCAATTTTACCTCAAGAACACTAACACCCTCAAAATCAATTCAAGAATGAAGTGAAAGACATTCGGCCTTGGTTTTTGGTATGCTATGCCCAACTTCACTCAAGAACTCTAATCCTCAAAATTGAATTTTGAAGTATTTGAACAAACATTCTGGTGTTGTGCTACATTCTCGAATGCGCACACATGGAAGTTTCAGATGAAGGTAATTCCGCAGTGTGGGTGGGCTTATTTGACTAATTTTATATCCTGTCTCTAGTTTTTGAATGTTGAGATAAATAACGTCATTTTTAGGATACTCAACTTTTCTAATTTTCTTAAGTTAGGAGATCTAATATTTGAGTTTGTTGCGTTGAAAAAGAAGCAAAATATTTGTGAAATCAACAGAACGACACAAGAGCTGTTAAACGACACTTGTGTCGTTCTGTTTATAAAGATGAGTATACGTAGTCACAACCTATCTATGTCCCGAAAATCAATAAGTTGAACTCATTTTAATTGCAATATGAACATTTCGTTTACAAAAGTTGAGAGATGTGCTCAATAATTATATTTTCTAACGAATCGATACAATAACTTGTGATTTCACCAACTCAAATTCGTATAATTTATGTCAATTCAACCGTTCGTTGTCTCATGATTAACCTTTCTAACTTTTTAAAGTCAGGAGATCTAGTGTTTGAGGTTGCTGCATTGGAAAAAAACAAAATATTTAAGAAATTAAGAGAACGGCACAATAGTTGTTAAATGACACTACAATTAATGCCAATTCTACCGTTATTCGCCACGTAATCAATAATTCTAACTTTCTTATGTTAGGAGGTCCGATCCTTGAGGTCGACACTGTGAAAATGAAGCGAAATATAGGAAAAACCAACAGAATAACACATGTGCCGTTAAACGTCACTAGTGTCGTTTGGTCGATAAACACAAGTATGAGTAGCCACGAGCCTTCCAAGCTTTAATATTCCATAATTTGAACTCATTTAAGTCGCAAGATGGAAATGATGCTCACATAATTTGAGAGATACTCTCATTACTTTTGTTTTTCAACGAATGTAGATGGTGACTCGTGATTTCACCAACGCGACATCTACAATCTATGTCAGTTTTATCATTATTCGTAACGTAATTAATAATTCTGACTTTCTTATAAGAAGATGTCCGATCATTTAGGTCGACGCGGTAGAAATGAAGCGAAATATAGGAGAAACCAACAGAACGACACAGGTGTCGTTAAACGTTACTTGTGTCGCTCTGTCGATAAACACGAGTATGAGCAGCCACGAGCCTTCCTAACCTTGATATTCCATAATTTGAACTCATTTAAGTCACAAGATGGACATGATGCTCACATAATTTGGGAGATACTTTCATTACTTTTATTTTCCAACGAATGTGGATGATGACTTGCGATTTCACCAACGCGACATCTACAATCTATGCTAGTTCTACCGTTATTCGTCACGTAATCAATAATTCTGATTTTCTTATGTTAGGAGGTCCGATCCTTGAGGATAACGCGGTGAAAATGAAGCGAAATATGGGAGAAACCAACAAAATGACACATGTGCCATTAAACGTCACTTATGTCGTTCTGTCGATAAACATGAGTATGAACAGCCACGAGCCTTCCTAACATTTATATTCCATAATTTGAACTCATTTCAGTCGTGAGATGAACATGATGCTCACATAATTTAGGAGATACTCTCATTACTTTGTTTTCCAAAATCTATGCCAATTCTACCGTTATTCATCACATAATCAATAATTCTGAATTTTTTATGTTAGAAGGTCCGATCCTTGAGGTTAACGCAGTGGAAATGAAGCGAACTATAAGAGAAACCAACAGAACAACACAAGTGACGTTTACACAGGTGCTGTTAAACATCACTTGTGTCGTTCTGTTGATAAACACAAGTATAAGCAGCAACGAGCCTTCCTGACCTTAATATTTCATAATTTGAAGTCATTTAAGTTGCGAGATGGACATGATGCTCACATAATTTAGAAGATACCCTCATTACTTTTGTTTTCCAACGAATGTGGATGGTGATTTGTGATTTCACCAACGCGACATCTACAATCTATGTCAATTCTACCGTTATTCGTCACATAATCAATAATTCTAACTTTCTTATGTTAGGAGGTCCGATCATTGAGGCTGACGTAGTGGAAATGAAGCGAAATATCGTTATGTCGATAAATACGAGTATGAGCAGCCACGAGTCTTCTGGGCCTCAATATTCCATAATTTGAACTCATTTAAGTCACGAGATGGACATGTTGCTCACATAATTTGGAAGATACTCTCGTTACTTTTGTTTCCAACGAATGTGGATGGTGACTTGTGATTTCACCAACGCGACATCTACAATCTACGTCAATTCTACCATTATTCATCACGTAATCAATAATTATGATTCTCTTATGTTAGGAGGTCCGATCCTTGAAGTCGACGCAATGGAAATAAAGTGAGATATAAGAGAAACCAACAGAACAATATAAGTGCCATTAAACGTTACATGTGTCGTTCTCTCGATAAATATGAGTATGAGAAGTCATGAGCCTCCCGGGTCTCGATATTCCATAATTTGAACTCATTTAAGTCACGAGATGGACATGTCTCTCACATAATTTGGGAGATACTCCCATTACTTTTATTTTTCAACGAATATGGATGGTGACTTGTAATTTCACCAACGCGACATCTACAATCTATGCCGATTCTACCGTTATTCGCCACGTAATCAATAATTCTGACTTTCTTATGTTAGGAGGTCCGATTTTTAAGGTCGAAACGATTGAAATGAAGTGAAATATAGAAGAAACTAACATAATGACACATGTGTCTTTAAACGTCACCTGTGTCGTTCTGTCAATAAACACAAGTATGAGCAGTCACGAGGCTTTCGTACCTCGATATTTCATAATTCGAACTCATTTAAGTCGCGAGACGGACATGCCGCTCACATAATTTGAGAGATACTTTCATTGCTTGGATGACATGAAAAATGAGAACAATACTAGTATTCTTATTGTTATGGAAACATCACAAGTGTCGTTACTTATGTAAATACGATTCGAATAATTGATAACTTGTATATTTAAAAAGTAAATTGTTATTAGATCAATAATATTTAATTTTTAAACATCATTTCTATATTTTCTAGGTAAAATACTAAAAATGGCACCAGTGATGTTTTGTTATAACAAAAAATAAATATCTTCCGTTATGGCTCATCGATTCAAGTATATATATTAAAATAATATAAAAATAGTTACCATATTTAAATTATCAAAGTAACCACACTATATTATCAATAACGGACAGATCATAACAGATTACAGTTATAATGTCATTTTACATTGAGGATAACGACTGTAGTGTCCTGCCACACTACAGATAACGACTGGATGCCGTTATCGTCCAATAATTGTGGACGGTA